GATGGCGACTTTGACTGTTGCGCAGATCAACGAGTACGAACTGAGACGTTTCCAAGCGTTAATTGAGTAATTGGAAGGTGTCGAAGGAGTCACCGGCGGCAATCAGTGCAAGTCGCGCCAAGGTCAAACCTCATACTTCTGATTTCCATTTGAAGAGCGCATTGGATTGTGGAAAAATCAATGTTTATCAACACAAATGTCGCACATGCTCAGCGCGACGACTACCGCGCTTTAATCATTTTTTGAATGAGCTGCGTGAGATAATTGATTTAATTGTAGTCGGGATATTATTCCATATTTTTGCACCTGAGTATGTCATCGAAAACTTGCCAAAAGTTGTACGGGTATATTCAACAACAAGATTTTGATTGTGGGGTTGTCTGGTTTGATATGAATGATGGATAGGTTTGAATTATGGTGGATTAAGTCATGGATGAAGGTACAGGTGACTAATTTGTGCATTTTATATATATAAAGGATGTTTATTTTTTTGAATAAAGGGGCCGAGTGTTCAGTGAACGAACTAATCGTCATTGCGCAAACTAACATTTTCTGGGTCATATAAATGGTATTTAAGTGTGAGTGATATGTATTACCCCAAACCTCCAGACCATAAGTAATATCGGCTGTATAAGGGAATTATAAAGCAATATTAAAATGTTAAGGGGTATCACATGTCTAAGTTTAAATAATAGGCCACACTTGTTTCTAATTATACTGTTGATGTGATCGATGTGACATGACCAATTAAGATGTTTATCCATTAAAACACCAACAAATGAAACTACCCTGACTTCCTGAACACATTCTCCTCTGATGCTAATTGAGCTCGCCACATTATGCAAGTTTTGCTTGCTACTAAAAACGATATATTTCGTTTCCTTGTTATTTATGGAAAGTTTGTTGGCATCACAACATAGCAGGACATCATTTAAATGGGCGGTTTGAGTATTGAGTATGCAATTTAGGAATAATAATTCTTGTTTGCAGCTCTGAGTACACTAGTAAGGACATTTCTATATGACTTATCCTTGGATACAGCAAGTGGCTCATGATTATTAGCTACAAATTTTGCATATAGTTTGTGTTTCGTATTAATTGATTTTTAATAGCACTAGTGATCCACTTGTTAGTGCTAGCTTTTGCAGTGATAGTCTTAACTCGTAATGGCGCATGCGCATCACAAATGCTAAAAAAGTATTAAAAGTTATCTCCCATGAATCTTCAAAAAAAAATTTCTAAAACGATTCCGATCATGAAGTTTAAAATCTCTTGAAAAAACTGTTTTCTTGATAGCGACATGAGTATCATAGTAAACCTGTAACAATGTTTGTGCCGATTGATGTCAAATTAACATATGTGGCTTAAGTTCAACGCACTTACTATCTTGTCACTGATGCATTTAAGCCACCGTAGCGTACCTCAGTCAACATATAATTTACAGACAAAAGCAGTCGGATCAATCGCAAAATGTACTCATCACATGTTTGTTTCGACAAAACTCAATCAGAACAAACCCTGTGCACATAAATGTAGCTATATGTCTCGCCGGACTGCCATGACACATATAGCCAAACTGTTTAAATTAGAGACTAATTGTGAAAGTTGTTTTACGTTGCTCAATAATTCCTGAACGTGGTGTGTTCGAAATGAACACGAGGGAGTTTTCGTGAGTGAACACGTTCGTTCGTGAAATCGTATTTAGCCATCTTCTTACAACCATTTACTGAAATTTACTTAACTTTAAAAATAGATCCCCCTCCTCTCATTTTTTTTAAATATAGTTCCAGACATTGTTTCATACGATTGACTCCGTATTATACATACTGTAATATCAGGTTTATCTATAAAAAAAAATCCGTATCCTATTTTAATTTCACATATATTCTTGTATAGCAATAAGCAATCTATTCGCAAAGTATTTCAGATTTCAAAGAATTTCGTGAAACTGTATAGAGACATCTTAATACAAACATTTTCTCTGCTTTGTGTACTATGTCGTAGTAAGTATGTGTTACGTGTTACATAAGAGTGTAAGGTAAGCGTTCAACATAGTATGTACAAACACTGGGATAACTAAACCCCGGTCAACAACTGACAGATCTTTTATTACAAGGGAAGTGTTACAACTGCAATCGCCGCAGCAAGTACAGAGAAAGTGTTTATGTTGACGAGAAGGAACCACGACTTTCTGACACTTGAATCCGTGTCTATTCCCCCATTTGTATGTACTCCTACACCACTTCCTTGCTTAGCTTCGCTAAACTAGCCTACAACTAGCCTGCAAATATCTTTGCTCAAAAGTTTTCTAATATTTATAAACGCGTTCATCACAAACTTTTATTCTGCATGCCTGTATTTCCATTGATGTGTGATATTATGAGAACGTGACAGCGTCCAATTCGCTGATAACTGAAAACTGATATGAGTCCATCCAATGGCTGGTGATCGTCTAACATTACCCAGGGTAATCGGATCATTACTCGAATAAGTTATGTTAATACAATCATGTAAAATTATGTATCAGCTGAAGAAAAAACGTTATAGATGTGTGATAAGTTTAAGTTTTCGATTATTACCTATATATCTACCGAAAACCAACATCTATGCGTCACAGGTGCAGGTAATACCAGTAGGTGAACCTTAGTGTGTAATATATTATAAAAATAGAAGCATGAATACAAACAGGAATAATTATAAACCTGAAACGAAGGGTTTAGCGAATATAGATGGCGTGCTGAAGGTAAATGACAGCATGCTCAGAAAAATTTACTAAATCAAATGGTTTAACGTGGCGCCGTATACGAACAATTATAATTTTATTAAAATACGCCAAACGAAACAAATGTGCAGATATATGAGGGTGTCAATCCAATACAATAATATAATATTCAGGGTTCCTAATTAATATGAACATATATAAAAATCACTCGCCTGCAATTCCAATAACTTTTGTTATGAATTTTGTGATAGCTCATAGTACTGGTACCTCTATAATCTGGCCAGGCCTTTCGGAATTATAAGTCATGTGGGCATTTGGTGTTCAAAGATTACGTAATGGCGACCAATTTTAAAATGTTGGATGTCATACCAGTTTGTCAGTCTCATTTTAAATGAAGATTAATTCCTAGAATTTATGTTTCCATTAAACCCGATTCATACTTCTTTTAACACTTTATTAATTAGTTTGCGTAAATCATGATAATCCATCTAGATAAAATGTTTTGTCACTTGCAATCATTCTCTTGTTTCCATGATAACCGAGTCAACTTCTTTACATTTGTGATTCTAATGAGAATGTCATGACAATCTATCCTTGACTGTTTTAGTTATATTCTGAAAATAGTTATTCTATGACGGTAATCTTCTTTTTTTAAGTACAATGATACTTACTAGTAATAGTAATAGTAAAATTAATGTGATTTTTTTAATTACAGAAATTGACATTTCATGTTATAAGAAGTGGGGTCACCGTACTCCGTTCAGAGAAAATCTTTTAATAAATTGGAGTGAAAATAGCATGTTCGGATTCAGCATTCTAAAAGTATTATAACACTTTTTACACGAAAAGCCTACAGATATATCTTATCGGCACACTTTTAAAATCCTGCCAAGACTGATCCGTTCTAAATCATTTCTTTGCACACGTCGAGAAAAAAAACAAAAGCACCGAGCATGGCCGCTGCGGTCGGCTGATTTACGCCCTCTTGAGGTTGAACTTTGATATATTTCAAATAACAGCCAGTTAGTTTCCAGGATTTAGAGTGTTTCCTGCTCCGGGTTGGCAAATCGTTGGCTGTAATAATAACTTTATTCTGCGTTATCCGTTAACAGAATGCACCATGCCCATGCCCTTAACTCATACATGCTGCAAAGACGGACCACGGTTACATACAAGTCCCGGCATCTCACTCTGACATGAGTACAATGTTTGACCTCAGTAGCCACTGGGGTCATTCATACACACCAAAAAGAATCGGCGTTCCTGTTGCTATACAACGTTGGTCCGTGAAAAATATTGTTATTGACTGAAGTCATTGACGAACGTGCTGTTTTGGCTACATTCACGGAGACACTGTCGTCGTATCCACAGTGACGGTTTTCTGCGATAAATAGGTTGAGCAGAATCCTCGGGTTACTGGTTTCCAGATCGCGCCAAAGTGAGGAGTGAATCTGAATTCGAGTTTTGCGTGGTTTCTCCTGACAGGTTGTGTACGTTGGCATTCGATTTTACTTGCTGTACGCTACAGTGAATCTACTGTCATTCTGAGACATTTGCATCTATAACCCCATGAACGTAAGTTGTATTGCAAGTATAATGTAGTTTTTTTAGGGGTGGTCTTGTAAACTGATTTTATCGACCAATAAAGTCTACCTCGCAAAACAAAGACCAGAAAAGACACGGACATTAACAATGAAAACTGTCGCAAAAGCATTAATTATGTTATTTCAGATTTTTGTTTACAAAAAGTTACCTATCACCTGCCCTCCCCGTAATTAATGGAATGTTCCTAATTTGCTGATGGCATGCGCGTGTACCCTTGTATAGGACTTAATACAGAGAGACTCGGGCGTATCAGAATGACATCATGGCGTTCTCTCTGACTCATAAAAGATATTTACTGGTATGACAACTGGGAAAATACTACAAAGACCCAATCTGAATAAGAACGCATCGCTGCGAGAGTCCCACAGTATGGTAAGGACATCATTCTTTTTCTTGAAAAATCTGTGATTCTATATGTACTATCAGAGGTACATTACTTGGGGTTTGCAACTCGCATAGTACTGTATGGTGACATCATGTCAAGATCCCATTGAAGTCTCATCTCGTAGATAGCGAGACTGAGGCTACGACCTTCTGACATGATATATATCAATGTTCAAGGTTTGTAATGAAAAAATAAAACTTTTCTTGCCACTATCGTAGTGAAAAATGTAATACATCGAAAATGTACAGAAAATATAGTTCTCGTAATCCGTCATATCTTGGGCAGCTATTTTGATCCACCTGGACATCCCAGTATCCTAGTTACCTCGGGCATGCGCATTCGCATTTTTCTGAGTTGGAACGCTTATGCGAGAGCGAGATTGTAACGGGATCTTGGTATCATGTCACCGTAGTTGCAAACCCCAAGTAATGTACCTCTGGTACTATACATATATATGTTTTCTTAATTCACATTCATACTGTGCTTAAAAAATGTAAAACACAAGGCCTGCTCAGAAACTATAAAATCAGCTATAGACATACATGTATTTGTTTTGTATGAATGATTTTCCGTGGTTTCCATTAGTATACATGCATGGCCACCTTTAGCGGTATTGGTATGTCACAGTCGAGCGACTGCCGAGAGCGTTGCTAGTGAGCATTCAATGTGTGTATATACTACAACGCATTGTGTGTTGAATCACATTTCAACTAAATGACCATGACAGGATATCTTTTTTTGTGTCGGTTAATTGGTAGACTGCCAAAGGCTTTTTTTTTTTTTTTGTTCTGTTTACATTACACACGCAGTACTCGGTATAACATATGTCATCAACCCTTGAGATCTATGTTGTACGTATATGTATTGTTTTCTCAGCATTTCCTTCCAAAGTATTGCCTGCCCAACTGTGATATATATTGTAATCAGAGCAAAGCAATCTCACACATCGATAAATGCATCTGTAATTTGATGATTGCAAGATATCCCTGTGTTTGAAATCAAATTATAAATGCATTGTTTATTTTCAAACCAATCTCTGCTATTTCTACAGAATTTAGATTGTTGCTAATATAGTATAAATTAAGCATCTTTCTCTCATTATTTGCCCATTCTAATCAGAATGTAAATATAAAATGTACTTACCGTAATTGTCTTGTCTCAGTTAAATTTGAGATTCTTTTAGCTCTTTGAGCGGTTTTCTGTGATTTTTGTAGGTGTTTAATTTGGAGCACAAATTTTGAGAACTTATGAAACCAATGTTAATTTTATTATATGTCAAATGATGACTATATACAATAATAATATAAATATTACATAAAACTTCTTTTTTTTGTTTTCAGTCTGTGATAAATGAGAGACTATTGAGTGCCTCCGCGGAAGGCAAGTCACATGAGGTAGCTCGCTTAATGAAGAGTGGCCGTTGTGCTGTCAACTACATCAGTGAACATGTAAGAAACAATGTTTTTATTTGGAAAAAAAGTATTATGAATTTATCACAAAAATACCGCAAAGTATGCACAAAGGGAGTACGGTGATCGTACAGTGTTTTACGAACAAGTCAATTTCATTTTTTTTGGTGTCAGATATATATTAATTACGGTAATATGAGGTTATTATGATGATACTGCAAATTATGCACAAAGACAGTACAGTGGGAGTATCAACAGACGCGCAGCGGAGGTCAATGTGGCCGTGTACTGTCTGAGTGCATACTTTGCAGTAACCTTTAATAACCTAAGGATTGCATCATGGAAATACCAAAATTGAAAACGTTTAGAACATATTTAGCGAACTTCTTTGTGTGGAATCCGGTCAAACCCTGGGGGCAGTCATGTTTTTTTTTTAGTCCCCGTTCGGACGCAGTCCGAAAACGGGGACTTATGTTTTGCCCTGTGTGCGTCCGTCCGTCCGTGCGTCCGTGATCACCTGTATCTCGAACATGCATGGACCGATTAAGTTCAAACTTCACTCATACATCACACATTATATGGGACATATGCACATGCATTTTTTTCATGATCCGATTAACGATAGCCGAATAGCGGCCATTTTAAGGCCGAAAATGCATTGAAATCGCACATTTTCACCATTCCGGACCCGAATCTCAGTTATGCATGGACGGATTTCATTCAAATTTGGTACATACATTAAACATAATAGGACCTTGATGCACCTCATTTTTTTTTTCGGATCAAGTTCGAAATAGCCGACTGGCGGCCATTTTGTTAAAGAATTCAGTTCTGGATCCGTATCCAAGACATGTCTGGATTGATCAAGTTCAAACTTCACACACACATGGTACATCATGTCACAAATAGATATGTGCATTTGTTTCATGATCTGCTTAACAATAGCGGAATGATGGCCATTTTAAGGCCGAAAATGCATCAAAATCACGTATTTTCACAATTCCAGAACCGGATCTCAGTCATGCATGGATGGATTTTGTTCAGATTTAGCACAATGTGTTGTACATATGCAGGTGCATTTCGGTCATGATCTGCTTTGAATGTATATGTCACTCAAATATGAACGGAACGGGGACGTGTCATTGACAATGACTTGTTTATTATTAGAGGACGCTTACGCGGGTAATCATTCCATATTTTGAATTCTCATTTCCTAATATGGTAGGATGAAATGCCCAGTGCAATATTGCAAAATTACGACATGCTGTACTTAAGGCATTACAGTGACAGATGTGTAATAATGATTTATATCCCAATATCATTTTTTTTTTATATAATTTATTCGTATTCATTCCAAGGACAACAGAATTAAACTACAGGCTCTGCAAATACAACACAACAAACATTCACACATAAGTTACATTGAATAACCAAAGAATACATTAAATAAAAATATAATATAAAGAAAAAGAATATTCTAGTGATTTGTGGAATGCCATAGTGTACGATACAATGTATACAAATCTTATCTAAGATTACTGTTTATCGTATCGCTACCAGTAGCAGCAAATATATATGTTATTTTTTTAACTCAGTGTATCCATTAATATTTGGACTATTTTACTTGAAAAATGCAGAATTACTGGTTGTTAAATATGCTTTTTAAATTCAGCTATGTGCGTTCATTGTACACCCCAAATTAATTGAAATATTCAGTTAAAAAATTAAGCTTCATTTCAGTTGCACATGCATTTACATTTCAATTACATTTAAAATTGCCAGACTGAACAAAGTAATGAAATATTTATTGCCATGGTGATTCTGATTTTCCAGTGTTCTAGTTTATTATGATATTAACATATAACTGTTGGCAATTATTATAATCAACATGATTTGTTTGACTTATTTGGGCTTTATTAATTATTAAGTCTGTAACACCTGCCTTCAGACATTTAAATTAACTTGTTATTGCATTGTTAAAATGGTCTTGCAGTGTTTCCTTGTGTACGTATGTTGTCATGGTGATGACCTATTTTGAATTGCATTTAAATAGAATGACAGTCACCAGCAGTTTAATGTGATATATACATTGTATGCTAAAATGCCATTATTATTATTTTTGCTCCCGAGATTTTTTTTCTCAGAATTTAAAGCTTATTCCACCATTTGTTCATTCAAATCAAATTATTTAATTCAGGTAAAATGCAACTGTTTTTTCCCCACACAAATATTGTTGCATGCAGATGTTTACTGTTAATTCTTTGAAGTTCAAGGTTATGTTTTGAAGGAAGTGTTTAACATTATTAACTGTAATAGTTTTCAAGTCTAATATTACGAGTAAAAAATTCTGTTAGTATATCATTTATGAATAAGAAGCAATATCAATTTTTATTTTGACATAAATTCCATGACATTTTGTCATACTTGTAATCTATATGAATCAGACTTTTGTATAGTTTATTATAGTAGTGTATGCACTTACATGTATGATAAATGCAGACGTGATTCAGTATAAAATACATGCAATTGTTTCTCTTTATATGTTTCTAGTAACACGACAAAAAACAAATGTTTTTTTTCCCAATGATCAGAAGTTCTAAAAATCCGTCTCTTTTGATTTCTCTTTATAGCACATAAAATAAAAAAATACAAATTCTCAATACTGTTAAATACTTTATTTTAGCTGGAATTAATTTTCGCTGAGAAGACTTTTTGGGTGTTTTTATAGAATTTATTTTCACTGATTTTTGACGAGTTCAATGTAAAATATAGGAAAAAAAAAATATATTTGCAGGATTTTTTTTCACTGACACATTCCTTCAGCGACAATAGCGAGAATTAATTCCAAGCGAAAATAAATTATTTTACAGTAATTAAATTATAATTTATTGTTCTTTCAACTGTTGGTACTTTATCTTGCAGGGCAACACAACTGCACTACACAAAGCAGCCGCCTACGGTCACATCAAAATAGTGGAGATACTATTGGACTGTGGAGCTAACACCAATATGAAGGACAAGGTGATGATATTATTATTCTTTTAATTCTAAATGCTGATGCTTTCTATTGACATATTTCATTAATTATAATATGTGAAAATAATAATCTTGATTGAAAAATATTATTTTCCTTTTTTGTTTTATTTGTAAAATTGGAAGGTCAGAGCGATACAGTTGATATTAAAGTGATTTATCAACCCTGTAAATAAGAACGAATTATTAAACAATTTAGGAATAAATTATCATCAGTTGAATTCAAAGTTTGCTAATTTAAATTTTTCTTGATGCAAACAATTATGCTAGTTCCTGTATGTGCAGTGCGATGACCACCAGCCTTTAATGATACACTCTTTACACAGTACAAGAATCACAATTGTTCTGTATTCAAGTGTACATTGCACTGCTTATTTGGACTTGACTTTGACTGTGGACATAAATATAATATCCGATTTAGATTTGACACAATAGTTGCTATAACAACATGCTAAAACAAATTCCAGTAGGGGTGTTCATAACTTACGATGTGATCGTCTAAACACCTGGCGGGAAAACATCCATCAAGGAAAATTTATTCTTGATTTTTTGATACCCAGCTTCCTGATTTATTTTTTTGACAGTGACTTTATGTGGTAGTGGTGGTTGCCGAGTAACTTTGCTTTACTTGGTGACTATTTGATATAACCTTTACCCTGTTGTTGCTGCTATGATAACCTTTGACCTGAAGTTAATTGAATAACAAGTGGTAGCTGCCTTCATAACTTTTTTGCTGCAACAAATGATGAATTTATAAAACTTTATGAATTTTTATGGTCTAATGCAATGATATGATAATGATATAGTCCTCTTAAAATTACAACCTAATAATAATTGTATTGACAAATAATAAGTAGCTCTTACTTCAAGTCAAATCTCACAGATATTTCACTAGGGGAAATTCAAATTGAAATAAGGAAACTCACTGGGTTTTAATTTTGCTTATTTCGCTGGCTGGAAAATGCACTAAATTAAAACCTAGTGAATATGTAAAATTTAGCATAGAACACATCATCTAAATGATAAAACCGTGAATTTAAAACCCACTGAATATGCCTGAAATGGTAGCAACCCCAAGGTTTGACAGCTTGCTCTGTAATCCAAAATGTTAATAAATTCATAAGACTGTACTTAAACTTAGCTACATGTATCATATTTTTAAGAAAATGTTAAAATGTCTTAACCCTCTTGCTATTAAATGTGATTTATAACCAGGTCATTTTCTCCTCTAAGCCTATTTGATTTATTACAGACGAAAGACCCAACCAATTATGCTAGTTCCCTCCTGCGTCATTGACTTAATATAAAATCTTACATTGATGATCCTACAGCGATCTTGAATAACATTTTATTATTGTGTTTTTTTGTAAACAAAATAACATATTCCATGTGCACAACTTCAGATGTTTCATACAACCACATATACCGGTAAAGGATCTTTATTTATTCTTGAAAACCTCTCTTCCCAGTAACGAGCTGTCCCAACTTGATTACAAGGATTTTATTTTTAACTCAAAACCCTACAAAATAAGTCATATAAGAGGGCACCCTGAACTGGGTAATATTCAGAGGGGTGCACCAATATTTTTTTTTGGGGGGTGCTAGTATAAAATTGTATTGAAAATTGTATGATTGCAACCCTCCTAAAAAAATAATGGTCTGCCCCTTCCTCATACATGTATTAATTCATCAACAGGCCGGTTACAGCCCCTTACACTGGGCTTGTCAAAATGGATATGCAGACGTGTCTGAGGCACTGTTAAATATCCATGCTGATGTTAACTCCAGAGATAAGGTACGTAGTCAGTTACTGGGCAACGATCAACGATTTAAATGTTCACGCCTTTTAAACATCCACTTTGGCATCGCTACAAGTTGTAAATATATAAATATGTCAGTACAGTGGTTTGAATAAAACAATACTGAGTCTTTTTACATTACTGTATATTTGCAGTGGTCAAAATAAGTCATATTTTTTGGCTGACCCAAAATACAATAAATTTTGGTTTCATTTGTGCTTCAAATGATGCAAGTATGGTTCAGTGATTGGCTGAAATTGTTTGTGTTTGGACAAATTAATTCCACAAATGTAATTCCTAACTAGTACTATAGAAGTGTAATTTTCAAGGCTACACGGCTGATTTTTACTAAGTCACTGAAATTTACCTTACATGTACTGTATAGTTTACAGCTAGATAGAAATAAAAAAAAGAAATATAAAACAAAGTTTGTCTACCGAAAGTTCCACCAAAGTTTCAGAACAAAGCAAAGGTAATGGAGCCTCTCCATTTTCTGAATTTATTAGTTGTTGTTTGTGTTATAGATAACATACTATTAATTTTCAGTGATGTATTTATGACAATTTCTTGGGCATGAATGTGTCCAAAAATATTTTTAACATTTTGTGTGTGAGCAAGAATTCATCATTCACTGTCGTCGTTATGAAATATATGTGTATGTGGTTCTGTTAATAAAACTACTTATTCGCAATGGTGTCACTGTGGATAGCAAGCTAGAGCTCGTCAATGAGGGACATTTGTTATCAGAAATTTACATTCGGTGCTTGAAAAAAATGTAAACAAATTCGATGACCTAAGGTGAATTTTCACTTCAGAAAGCAACGATACTAATTATAATACTGTTGTATTGTGTATTTAAAAATTATGTTGACTGTATTGGTGTTTTTATGTTAATTTCTTGTTTTTCACAGTATGGAAGGACTCCGTTACACTTGGCTGCTGTTAACGGGCGCAAAGCTGTGGCTGAGGTTTTGTTGAGAAGAGAACCGGAAATCAACGCAGTACCAATCGATGTGAGTATACTGTACCACTTGTCAAATTTACCTTCCAGCAATTTATCCAATTTGATTATTTTAATAAACTTCTGACAAAGAGTGAATTTCACCAGATTCATTGCGACTCAATCCCGGTGAAGTTTACTGAAAATTATTTTGTCTCAAATTGGGATGGCTTGAAGTACAGCCATTAATACACATTAAATGAATTCAGAATACAGTATAATTTCTATAGACAAGTCTTAGTTGTCGATGTCTGAGTTCAAAACCTTTTTTTAAATATTCCCATTACATTGCATTGCATTGCATGAACCCTGTTGGCAAAACTATGTTTCAATTAATTAAACTACCTTGTCAACAGCAAATTGCCTGCATCAGCCATGATTGTTTCACTGCACATTTTTACTATAATTAGTAACTGTAGCGCCTCTGTTGTCCTGTATTTAGTCCTTCAGATAATGTAGAAAATTTTTTCTATATATCACAGATTTGGGTGATTCTTTTTTTAATTTCAAAATTCAGTGATTCTCGTTGTTGCCTTGAAATGTAATATATTTTATATAAACAGTGTCCAGACTAATTTAAATTATAATTTTTTTATGTAAGTAAACTATTTTATTTCCCTCGAAAATTTTAAATATTTTGAGAAATTTAAAATAAAATACAAATCAAAAAATTGAATTTTCTGATCAACGGAGTTTCCAAAATTAGTACTTGTGCAAATACTGTAAACCTTATTAATGTTTTCCATTTGAAGATCTTATAACATTTGTGAGAACCCGCAGTGAAATTTTCACTGAACATTGCAACATACTACAATTTTCACTAACTTGTCTCGGCTTGTGAAATTAGTTATAAGCAGTCTAAGTCTAAATTGCTCTCTTTTATAAGATATTCCACTATCTTTGTTTTCCTACTGACCACTTGAATGAACATTTTACCTATAAAATACATGTGTTTATGTTGAGAAAATAACCACTATAAATCAGTGAGTATTACTTGCATTACTATATGTATGTCAAACCAAGTAATGAAATGAAAGGCACGAGTTTCACCCCAGGTTACACTATTGTTATTTAAATCACACTCAATTCTCCACTCAAGTAACTGCCCTATTGTATTGTTGGTAGGTATTAGTTGTATGCACTAAACTCTCCTCTGTTGAACAGTTTTCTTTTTTTTTTCTTTTGTGATTGTAATGATTGTGGATATGTAAATAACCCTGCCATTTGGGTGATTATTATGGTACAGATCCCTTTGTGATCTTATATGTTTTCCATTCAGGGCGAGTTTTCTCTTTGGGGGGGGGGTATTAGTTTCTGTTGTTCTTTGCCATTCTTCATTGTATGTTAAATTGCTTGTTGAAAGTTGTTTTCACATACCAAGGTTGCTTTATGTTGATGCATTAAATGAACCTGGTTCAGTTAATTTGTCCTGGGAAGTTTGCAAACACGTACAACTTAAAGTAAATTAATTAAGCACGCAGTGATCATGAGTTGATTATATGTTGTAAACCTTAAAAAAATATCATGAAATTTCAAATGAACATACTAGTATATAAATTCTGCCCCTCACTCTAAGCCAACATTTGATAGTCTCATGAATACATGTATTTGTTGATCGCTCACAAATAAAAGGTTTTGCCTCGCATCCTGGGGAAAATAGGAAAAATTATGTGGTGGTGCAATTAAATCTTTTTTAATTAAGATTATTTAACACCTCAACACAGCTAGATGAAAGTTCAGTATTTAACAATTATCAGACGATCCTTTTCTATACATTATTAAATGTTTATTTGGATCGACAAAAAATCCTCTGAAAACAGAAAACATTTCCCTGCTCTACCACATGTGGTGCCCTTTACTGCTACACAAGATATGCCTTGCCTTATTTAGAATATGCAGGATATAAGATAGATAAGAACACCTTCTCTATGCAGGATTTTTTCATGACTGAATTTTGAATGCCTGGAAATATTCATTGGGTACTAATTTCAATTTAGGAGTCTTGAATTTGATGATATTTCATTTTAAATTGACTCACCAGAGTCAAAATGGCTGTCAGTGTTACATGAAATGCTCTATGATGAAAATCACTGCAGTTTCCAACAGGAAACACAGGTTTGAGCAGATGGTCTTTATATAAAAATGTTCACTATGGGAAGGTGGTCTTTATATAAAGGTGGTCACTATGGACAGGTAGTCTTTATATAAAGGTGGTCACTATGGGAAGGTGGTCTATATAAAGGTGGTCACTATGGACAGGTAGTCTTTATAACAATGTGATCACTATGGACAGGTAGTCTTTATAACAATGTGATCACTATGGACAGGTAGTCTTTATAACAATGTGATCACTATGGACAGGTAGTCTTTATAACAATGTGATCACTATGGACAGGTAGTCTTTATATAAAGGTGGTCACTATGGACAGTTAGTCTTTATATAAAGGTGGTCACTATGGACAGGTAGTCTTTATATAAAGGTGGTCACTATAAGCATGTTGTCTTTATATAAAGGTGGTCACTATGGGCAGGTGGTCTTAATATAAAGGTGGTCACTATGGACAGGTAGTCTTTATATCAAGGTGGTCACTATGGACAGGTAGTCTTTATATCAAGGTGGTCACTATGGACAGGTAGTCTTTATATCAAGGTGGTCACTATGGACAGGTAGTTTTTATATAAAGGTGGTCACTATGGACAGGTAGTCTTTATATAAAGGTGGTCACTATAAGCATGTTGTCTTTATATCAAGGTGGTCACTATGGACAGGTAGTCTTTATATCAAGGTGGTCACTATGGACAGGTAGTCTTTATATCAAGGTAGTCACTATGGACAGGTAGTTTTTATATAAAGGTGGTCACTATGGACAGGTAGTTTTTATATAAAGGTGGTCACTATGGACAGGTAGTCTTTATATAAAGGTGGTCACTATAAGCATGTTGTCTTTATATAAAGGTGGTCACTATGGGCAGGTGGTCTTAATATAAAGGTGGTCACTATGGACAGGTAGTCTTTATATCAAGGTGGTCACTATGGACAGGTAGTCTTTATATCAAGGTGGTCACTATGGACAGGTAGTCTTTATATCAAGGTGATCACTATGGACAGGTAGTCTTTATATCAAGGTGATCACTATGGACAGGTAGTCTTTATATCAAGGTGGTCACTGATGCAGATTTGACTGTACCAAGATTTAATCACATACATGTATGTAATTACAAACAATCACACTATCGACATTACATGACGATTGGTGTGTAAATAAAATACAGCAAGCAATATTTAGGCAATTGTGTTTATTTTCTGCGTACATGTTTGTTTCCAAGGTTGGAATCAGTTACTGTAAAATGACTAATTTTCACTGGGTTTAAATTTTGTTGATTTACCATTTCAGGCATATTCAGTGGATTTTAAATTCACGGTTTTATCATTTAGATAATGTGTTCCATGCTAAATTTTACATATTCACTGGGTTTTAATTTAGCCCATTTTCCAGTAAGCAAAATTAGCAAAATTAAAACCCAGTGAATAATTAACTCCACTACAGTATCCAAACTAATTTTCCCCCGCCCACTTGGTTTGGATAATCGAGGTTCGACTGTACTCGTTATGTAACAGAAAAAATAATCAACATTGCTAAATAAAATCGTTGTATGTTGGACTAAATAGTAGTTGTTGTTATATACCCGGTATATCTTTGCTGTAGATCATGGGTAAAAAGTCCGGAGCAGTGTACCAGAATCCATGGAAAGGGTTGACACCACTACATTGTGCATGTGATTGGGGCCATACCGGCGTGGTTGATGTCTTACTGAAAGCCAAGATCAATGTCAATATCAAAGACACCGTGGTGAGAAAAATTTACCGCTACTTTGAGAAACGAAACATATTCATAAAATATGATCATAGCTATTTGTTTGTTTGCATGTGTGGACTTTCACACAATTTCAAACCTCATGAATTCATTAATAAGTCTAACTTTTGTCCAATTCACTTTTTCATAAGACTTAATTTTCAGAAGAGTTTAAACCAAAGACACTAGAAAATTCAGTGTCTTCGCTTTATTAAAACAAAAATTACTATAATGGTAATGGAAAATCATTACGTAATAAGTGTTATTTGTTGACAATATGCAATGAAATCTGTTATATTATGCATGAAATCGAACGTAAAAACAGGACAAAGATAATAGTTTGATACAAATGTGTAGTGATGCTATAAATTTAAGTATATATATATATTAACAGAAAGTCTCCAAATATCTATATATATTATTACACTGTCTGTTTTACCACATTAAATGCAATGTTTTCGTTTTTTGTTCACTACACATTTTTGATGAAATGTTATATAAGTATATATAACTTTCCATAATATTTAGAATCATTTTATTTTTTAAACTGTGATTTGATGGGATTATATGTATTTTCAAGTAATTTTTTGATGTATACAAAAGACTTTTTTTCTGTTTTTCTTTCTCCTATGTACAATTACTGTATAAAATGTAGACCTATGGATATTTTCTGTTTACCTTGTAATTTTTTATTCATCTGTAGCTTGGTAGAACTCCACTCCACCTAGCTGCACTGAAGGGTCACCAGAATGTGGTTGATCTGTTGATAAAAGCTGGAGCAGACATTAATGCTGAGGCTGATATTTTAGTTGGAATGATATGGGGATCATCCGTCCAGAATCCATGGCGTAACTGTACTCCGTTGATGTGTGCCACGTACTGGGGACACAGTGGTGTGGTCTTGTCATTGGTCAAAGCTGGCGTCGACGTCAATGCGGTAGATTTGTCAGAGGTTAGTTATCTTACCTTTACTTAAAATTTGCACTTTGTGATTATGTGAAATATTTTATGGTCTGTATTTGCACAAATTAAATGTGCGAAGCATGTAATGTAAGTAATTTGACGAGTTTTGAGTTTCTGGGCATGTTCCGTGGTTGCCACACTACTGAATGCACATGCGATAGAAGGGAAGGTAAATTTAACAACCAATTCATCCCTGGGTCTATTTGTATCAGTTTTTCGTAAGTTGAATATACATGCATGCTTGTATGTTTTCCCCAGAAAGATTTTACAAAGCCACATATAGATAACATACATGTAGAGACAGAGTCTTTTCTAGAAAAAAAACTGCAAGAGAGAGCACTGCAATTTAGTGGTGCCACCAAGTTGGGGAGATAAATTCTCCCTACCCGGGTTTGGAGTTTTTGATAATTCTAAGTTAAAATAGAGCATTCTATGGCTTCCTTAGGGCCAAAACTACTATCAGACAGGTCACAGTTGAAGACTGTGGCCACATGTGATCCCTGGTCAATCAGAATTTTATGGTTGCCAGAAAATCTGCTCCCTAGGGTAAGGGGGTGCATGGCCATGGCATGAGGGCGCTGTGCTCTGTTCCCTTGTTTAAAAAAAATCCCTGTAGGGATATAAATTATATTTTGTCCCTTTTTATTTTGAGTGTATGAATGTAAAACACATTTTCTATATTCAATGAAAAGTTTGTGAGCTTTCATGGTAGTGTTGGATTTCTACAAATACAGAATCAATTTGCCGTACAAAACTGTAGCTGGTACAGAAAGAAAATTGTCTAACACTGCATATTTCTGCTGACCCAAGTGAATCTACGTTGATTCAATCCCTCTCCACACACATGGTAGCCAAGCAACTACACACCTTCATGGGAACCCAAAACAAATTTATTTGTTTCAGCTTCATATTTGTGCATTTGAATTTTATTTTCTGATGATTTTGCAGTGTTTCAACATGTATTGATTCACCAAGTTTCTTTAGACTATCCGTTTTGATCATATTAATTCCAATTCATGACCTCAGAATGCAACATTAAACTTATATTAAAAATACTTCTTTACTGGTTTTTCCATGTTTATTGAATTGGACTCTCCGAGCATTAAATTGTGTTTTTTGGGTATATCGAAACAACTAAGTTAGATTTAAAGTGTGCAAAATTTTAGCGCTTTTAAAAACAGTATTTGTTGAGCACTACTAATCATATTGTGGCTTTGACACTGAATTCCAGAATAGTGTAGATCAGTATGTAATTGCATTAAAAATTGATTCAATAAAAACAAAATAAAAATTGAAAAGTAACTCAGGAGGGCGCTGTTAATTGCTTTTTTTTTTTTTTTTCAGTATGGTTGCACAGCTCTGCATCTTGCATGTATCAGGGGACATCTTGCTGTTGTACAGGCTTTATTCCAAGGTAAAGTTGATGCTGATGCCAAAGCTGATGTGGTAAGTATTTCGTCAATTCATATTTATATGCACAGACATGTTTTTATTTTCTCAGTAGCTAGGATTAGTTTGTCACAGTGATTAGTTTACAATTAGTGATTGACAAAATGCTTTAATAAAAAAGTCTCCCTTACACTATATGTGTTTCCATGGAAACTAAAATTTCTCTCATTGTGGTAGATTCACTCTGGTGATAATTTTGTATGCAAAACCAGGACTAGCATAATGTAGTTTCTAACTTCTGAATTGATTGGAACCTTTGACCATTATTGTAGATTTTGAAAACCCTGATCAGTGTAGCATTCTAAGTATTCCATCAGAACCTGAACTTTAATTTCCTTAGAAGCCTTTTTTAGGCAGTCAGATGAAAATTGTGTACAGTGAAAATGTTGCCGAGTTCAATCATCATTTTTCAATCCTCTTGTAAATGCAGTCAATTCTTTGCAAAATTGTTTGATCAAGAATCATGTATTTCTATTATTTTATTAGAAAGTAGATAAGTTGTGTGGTTCTATATTCAACAATTCATGGGAGAGTTGTACACCGTTACACTGCGCTACATTCTGTGGTCATGTGTCAATTGTTAAACTTTTACTGAAGAAGAAAGTGCAGGTGTATGCCCAGGACGCCGAGGTGAGTGATTTATTTAGCATGTTACTTTTCTTACTAAAAAATATGTATCAATCCGTTGCTGGATTTAATATTGGTGTGATATGATTGGAGGAGAGGATTAGAAACGAGCTGGTCACATAGAATGAATAAATAAATCATCAGTTTATGCAAGCCATGGCGATATTCCTCCAATGGCATCTACACGTAGAACAAACCATGCAAACACTAATCTGGAAAGCTCATACAGGTTCAGTAAACTTGATTTCTGTGACAATCAAAACAATATTGTCAATATGGATGCTAAAAGCCACAACAATATTCTATTTGTTGATTGCGAACAGCTGACAAGATTGTGTTCACTTTAATCACTAATGAAGCGCTTTGTCACATCAGAGAAACGAATCTCAATATACTTCTCAGTTGTAGTTTTCATCTCATAGCTGAATGAACAAAATAATATTCTCAGAAAACAACATTTATTTCTCGACAGAGTTGCCTGCAAATTAGTGCTAAAAAATGTTTCATGTTAATTCCTGTTTACTCTGAGATTTATGTCATATAGGCGATATATAACTGACTGCAAATGGCGTGATAATCAATTCATCTTTTTATTTAATTGTAGCGCAAGACAGCATATGCTATAGCAAAAGAGAGAAAAAATACAAAATTAGCTGCAATGATAATGAAACGATGTCGGGTAAGTTTTTCATTTTCATCAGATATCTGATTGTACATATCCATTGTGTTCTTAAAGATGGTGGTTGTTGTGCATGCATGCATGAGATATGGGTACCTAATTAATAGATCAATGCACAAAAGAGCCCAACACCACTGAGAGAACAACTGAGCATGCCCAGAAAAAATAATTAGCTTAGATTATAATGCTGTGGTTTGTAGTGATGTCATGACCTTGATCTGAATCAGTGATAGATGGTTCGTACCATTACAAATCTCAGTGGAAACTGTAGCGGGGGGTCAGGCCTACATTTTGATGGGAATTATAGTGGTGATACTGAAACAAACCCAGGTCCTGGTAATATACAAAGACCTGATTTAATCAATAATCCTTCGGTGTGACTATAGACTCTAAGAAGTGAAATTCAGTACTCCATACACAGCTGTAGACTGATCAAAATTTACATTCATGTTTGTGACTGTATTCTAACCTGCAGGCATACATGTATATTTAAAGGGAGGCAGTTGTCGCGCCGCGTCCTGTTCGATATGGGACTCATAGTAACGTACATAACGCGTGTAAAATACATTGTTTATTTAGAATTTGAACACGCATTGCGCGAGGACCACTGCGATTTAAATGTTATTAAAAATATACCAGTAATCAAATTATTAATTTCTTCATTTTCGTAGGAGTACCTAATAAAAGAACTTTTTGTGAAATATGCTGAGCGAGTCGGCCCCGGAACACGGTGGAAGAGATTAGCTCTGGCACTGTTCTTTTCAGAGGAGGATATTGACAAGATAGAAGAGATGTACAAAGATGAGGAACCCGATGACAGATACAAAAAGAGTTGCGTACACGTGTTGAAGATCTGGTTGGATGACCAATCAGCATGGCCGGATTTACAGGAAGTGGACGATGCCATGCATAAAATAGAGAAAATTGGAAAAGGAGGTATTGTGAACCTTTTAATTTTTACTACTACAAATTTTCACTGACTCGTTAAATTTCATGAAAATTAAAGCGGTTTACAGTAAATGAAATTGATATCTTTTTTGGAATAAATTGGTTGTCAGATATTTGGTCAACTTTTAATCTTATTTTTCTTATTAAATGTACAATGTTACACATTTGTATTTCACCTGAGTTTAATAACTGGTGGTTTGGAAATTGAAACTATTGTCAGAAAAATTGTTATGGAATAGATTTTGTTAACATTAACATGACTTAGATGCCAAAGTTTTCTCCATATAATCAAAGTGAACAATTTGCGTGTTCTCTTTTTAAAATGTTTGGTCATAGGCATTTCAGTAAAAATATCACAATTACTCTAAGATGTTGATTTCAATTATGTGATAAATACAAGTTTTCATATTGGCTTCCTATTTCAGACGTTATGTTTGGCGGAGATTCCTCAGAAGGTGCAGGTGCTAGGGGAAGAAGAATGTCCAGCTTTGCTGGGAAACATTTACTGAATGGAAAATAACTGAGCTGTGATTGGTGGAAAAGACACCACACGACAAATTGTGCTGCTGGGTTGCAATGCATCGTAGGAAATTCACTAACTTGCCATACTACTGGTATTATCTGGGGTTTGTGGCAAAGTCGATATTATAGGAATCTAAATCCAAAAAAGGAATACACAAATGCAGTATCAGAGATGATATCTGTATGTAGAATCAATTTATAAAGACAAAAAACATTGCGTCAGCTTTCCAAGTGACCATGAATACTAATCATCTGACAATTAAGAATGTTTTGTATAACATTTTTGTTTATTTCCAGATTTATTTAGATTAAAATATCAACTTTCTGTATTTGAATGTGCACAGGATACAATGTGCTCATCAAAAAATGAATACAGCTATGACTATTTTTATCAATGGATTGTATTATTAATAAGTCAATCAAAAACTTTTTGTATATTTAGTTGTATATATGAATTTGTAATTTTTATAATTTCATTTAATTGTACATACTGTTTACTTTTTGCCAAATTTAATATATTTGACATATTGCATACAAATTCAGTACATTATATGCAAATGAGGTTGTTAATTAGATTAAAGCAAGCTGGTGGTGCAAGGTATATGTAAATGCATTTACTATTTAAAAAAAACAACTTTTCAAATATATCAATTTATTGAGAATGTTTCTTCCAAGACCAGCAGTAGAAGGTTTTTTGGATAATGCTGATAGTTTTAAATAAGAAAGTTCCACATTCCTATCCTTCGTTGTTCAGCTGAGATGTTAAGACGGTTTCGGTAATAGTAATATACATGTATACTAGTACATTGCAAAGCTTGCTCTGCTAGGTTTGAACTATTAATTTTTAAAACAAAGGAAATTTGAGGTTCCAAACATTGAGGGCGCCTCCTAAACCAGTAGGAATTGCTATATGCAGTGTTGTCAAATTCAAGCTGTCAGTAATATGGGTTTATCTGTAGTCCCATTCTTGTGCAGAAAAACACTCTCCACTTATAAAGAAACTGAGTGTAATGTAAAATAAAAATCAGCTTTGGATTTATTAATTCCATCTCTTAATTTTTCTGTCATTGAGCATTTTACAATCATGCATACCTTTTCCTTTTTATAAAGAAATTTAACACATTACCAGATAATTTTATACGCATTGCTGAATAAAATTTGATACTTTTTTTTATCATTTCGTAAATGTGCATCCTTTTACTCCAGACAAAACATCTTGAGTTTTCCAAAGTAATTGAAAAGTTTCCGCCAAAAAACTGAAAAAAAAAAAATCTTACCAAGCCCATATCTTTGACAAGGTGTACAAAATTGTGTCTGTTTTAATTCAGTAAAACATACAGGTATATCATCAATTTACTAAAAATATAATTCCAGGAATGTTACACTGCCCTCTATGGTAATAATATGCAACAAAATTTCGCCACTGTTAAATCCATGGATTTAAGTTTTACAGAGAGTTAATCTCCAAGTAGGTTTCAATCATGAGTATAATCTGAGGAGGATTAAATTCGCGACAGCTTGGCAGAAAACAGTTTTTGTTTTGAACAGTAAACGCATTCAACATCGCTGGGTTATACTTATATAGCAACATTATAGTACTCTGATCTATCTTTTCTTTCAACACGTCAATTGCAGACACTTTATTAAATTGAAATGTTTCATATCAAACCAATTCATGGACAACGATAAAAAAAAATAAAAAAATGTTTCATACATCAAAACTGAAACAATGGTTTCTATGGCAATCTTCTCAGCCAAATATTTTATTTGAATAATTACAGCCTATGCTCTCCCCATACAAAACCACTGCTGCTTAAAGTTTAATTTCTTTTAGCATAATGGTTAATTGTATCAGAAAACTTCTCAATATAAAAGTCAGACTTTGCTACATGTGTTATATTACAACCTTCTTTAAATAATAAGAGCAGACTATGTTAATTTCATGATAAACAAAATTCCCCCAAAAAATTTTACACACATAATGTATCCAGAATATTTCACCAACTTTTCATAGAAACTCAAAGCCATCATACTCACTAAATATCTTCTCCATCAATCTTCCTTCTATCATCAATTAACATATTTATTGAGTAAAAGCTTCACATCTTTGTAATGTATTCCAAATTATATATTAAATTATTCAAAAATATACATTAACTATTTATATTTGTTGTTGTTCTACATTAAGTTCTAACATACAATGTATGCCATTCTACTGTCTATTATTATTTTCACATTACACTCGCACCAGTCATTAAAAAAAAACAATTAAAAAATATGTACTAGTATTCATGTGTAGTTGTGCAAGCAATAATTTCCTTACTGATCAGAAAATATACTCAGTGGAATCCACGTTTTTTATGTGTGACAAAGTACCTTTTTTTCTCTTGTAATTTTAAGTTTTTTTGTTGAATTTTGGGTTTATAAAATATGAGGTGCATGCTATGAAGATCCTAGCAGGTCAGTTCAGCAATATAACATGACACCAATATACAAACTACCGGTACCATGACTGAAGTCACTGGTAGCATAGTGGTTGTTGCATCAGACTCGTGATCGGTGGACCCAAGTTCAAATCCTACCTTAGGCTGAACAACAAAAAGTGTTGGCGTGTCACAGACTCAATGGGAAGGCCCATTCCACTGGCCGAGATTTATTCACCAACGAATGTGAATTGAATGTCCACAAGTGCTTGTGTGTTCATGATGGCATGATAGTGCATTAAGTTGCCATTTGATAGAGAGATGTAGCCCCAAACACGATTTCTGTGGCAAAAATGCAACATGTACAATTACAACAAATTTGCTTCAAGAAAGCAATGTCACAGTTGCATTATGTCATATTACTTTATATCTCATGACAGTCTTGAGTAATAATTTCTATTATCGCAGTAATCTGATTGGTCTTTGCAAGCAGTTTCAATTTTGTTTATCATCCTTTCAACCCTATAGTGTAGCTCTGTAATTCCATAAATGTCACCAGTGCATCATGGGAAATTTGAATGGCCCGCCCAATGTTTACTGTTTATCCCAGATACTAATATCCTACATACATGTATACTAATGTATGCATCGACATTGACAGCCATTTTGAAGACTTGCATGTTGACTTTGAAGTTATATTCTATAAATATTCTAGACAAGATACATCATCACAAAGTACAATTTGCATACTGAAATCTGGTTGCCATCTTTTGTTGCATAAACTCTAAGCTGTAGTTTTACTCATACACATACATTCTTTTTTTCCTGAATTCGCTTCTGTATTCTCCAAGATTGTGTTCATGTTAGCATGACACACTGGATTAATATGCGGCTTTTAGTCTTCAATTATACATATGACATTTTCAGGTCTCTGCTCCTTTAATTCAGTGATCAACTCATTCTGTCCTATCTGTGCACGCTTTTGCCTTAGCTTATTCAGTAGCACTTCCACTCCAGCTACGGTGTATCCTTGAACGCGGGACACGATTGACGTGTTCACAGCACCAAACTTATCACTCCTTGTAGCATGCTGGCAACTTGGACAGATGTTTTTACATGACAAGATGTGGCAATTTTTACTGCGCCATCGCCGGGCAGAATTCATCCCATTTAATCGGTTCCCCCAAACTTCAACTTTGCATAATGCTTCGCAAGAGACATTGCATTTGATGTCTCCAATACATGGATTGCCATTTGCGACAAGGTCAAATACTGCCTTCAACGTACCAATTTTGACGCAGCCAGGATTCCATGGTACGTTAGCCTTCAACAGGGGTGCAGATGCCACCCCGACCTTGGCCTCGCCATGGATGAAGCTACCTGATTTTGTAAAAGTCACCTCTCTCAAAATTCTGGCACCATTCACCAGAAGGTCTATTCGACTATCTAGCATCACCCAAGTTATTCTGATTTCGACATCTGATGGAACTTTTATCCATCCGGGAGGCGAGTAGTTCTTAACATCTTCCCAAGACAATTTGTCAACGACTGCCATATTCGCTGACGGTATACGCTTGATGTTGTAATATTTTTTCAGTCTTCGGTTCCTACCTGGTAGACGAATTCGTTTTCCATACACCCCGTCTCTTGACCATAGCGTATTGATGGCGTATCCAAAATTCACTCTAGTTGATCTCACGTTAGTACACTTATGTTCACACATGTAATGCTCTAACATCTCGTCAATTGTCACGGTCGACCCCCGACATAGGGTGTAGTTTTGTAGAATCCTGTAGGTTACAAAAATGGTAAAAAAAAAAAAAACGAGTTATTAATTAACTAGGGTAAATGTATGAATAAATTATTAGAACTTGTCCCAAGAAAACCAAGGAAGTTTAGTATAAACAATATTGATATTAACTAATTGTGTATACAATTACAATCTGAACTATGATTAACCTATTGAGTATTGAAAAGTCCCCCCCCCCCCCTCCCGAAATTCATCATTATATGTACATGTACCATGGAGACAGTTTCAGATATTACGTTTAGGTTTTCAGCGATTTTTATCAAGATTTCAGGTGAGAAAAAGCAGACTATACAAAATCAATTTTGTAGTATGCTCTCAAAGTGTTAAAGTTGGTTTACAGATGAAAGGCAGTACTTCTGCTATAATCAGAGAGAAAATTCTAAATGTCTTCCAAAATCTTTGCGATGTTCAGCAAGTGGTAAGCAGACATAGAGACTAATAAATAATTTTCAGTTTTTGTGAGATTCCTTACTCATAATTGTGTTATTTTGTAGCCGTAACTATTAGCTAAAAATGTTCATTCTTGCATGTGCACACATTGATCTGGAACGAACTTGTGTATGCAATGTATGCAAATGAGGTAACCAATGAAACCACACAAAGAATTTAACACTGTACATCTGTGGCAGACAGATTAAGACTATCCTAACATATACTTGCATATTTAGCCAAGTATTTAGCACTGTGCTCACACGATCTCTTGAATTCATTTGCATATACCCGGCGTTACCCGCACAATGGTTCTTAGAATGTAGACATTTTTAT